CCCAACTGCCTGAATCCTCAGAATATAATTATATGAAGAGATTGAAATGACAAGTTCACTTTTGAAGGTTTTGTTCTCTGTGACAAGGCTGAAGTTATCTCCTCTGCCGAAATGCAGAAAAACAGAATTGTAATGGCAATTAATTTACATTCAAATAGCTCTTTTCATCCACCTGGATCCTGCAGAGCCCTGAACTGTGCTAGCTGAGCACACAGAACAGGCAATGGGACTCATTCATCCCATGGAGATGCAGGCAGTCAGAGGCAGGATGCTGGAGGTGGCTCTCGGGAATCAGAATGGACAGAGATGTTATTGATCATCTCTATGAAGAGCCAGCATGTCCGTTTCCTTTGGCAGCAGCATGTGGATAATTCCTGTCTCTCGTGTGTAAGTCACAGCTCATCAGGAGTGTGGCCTGGGTTGTGCCCTCAGATCTGTCCTGGAGTCATTGCCTGCCCCTGGGTGAAACATTTGGTGTTGTTGGGTCTCCTGCCGGAGGCCCTCGGGAAGAACAAGGGAACAAGTATGGCCTCCTTCTTCTCCAACAGATTGGGATCAGTCCCTGGGGATTTACTGCAGAGACATTCCTCTGGAGGGGGAGGAGAGAGAGGGCCTGGGGCAGCGGGCTGCCTTCAAGTGCCTTCAAGGGACAGGATGGAGCAGAACAAGGAGCCACTCCAAGGCATTCCCTGCACAGGATTAGGAAAATCAGAGCTGGAGAAATACCAAGGTGCAGGTCCAAGCCTATCTGAGGCCATTCCCAATCCGTCTGCCAACAGCATTCCCAGACCCATGGGTCTGCCCCCACTGCTGGAGTCAGTAGGGCGCCCACTGGGGTTTGGGGGGCTGGGTCCAACTGCATCAGCCACAGCAGTAAATCAGAAGGAAGCACTCCTGGACATCCATAGCAATGAGCTGTTCCAAGGATTCACATGCCCCTCATCCTACATGTCCATCCGCACAGCTGGGGAGGCTGGTGAAGTCGGAGCATCTGGGACACAGGAGGATCCCATCCAACGTCTCCAGCTGTATCTCACAGAGCCGTGCTTGGAAGTGGGTGCAGGAGTGAGTGGATGCCAGTGCAGGGACATTCATGGCCTCAGCCTCACGATCCCCTGGGTTATCCAGGTTGTGGCTCAGTCTCCTCCGGCAGAGCTGGTGTCACAGCAGGGCCATGCTGTTCCTTGGTTTTAAAGGGAGTTGCCTGGGACAAGGTTTACAGGTGTTCCCAGCTTCCATCAGCAGCCTATCCTCTTCTCTGAGCTCCTGGCTTTGCTCCTGGTGACTCGCTCTCCAGCCAGCCTCACACACTGCTTCTCCTCCTTTTTGTCGATTCCCATGCTCTGAGTACAGGGTCTTACAAGAATCCCCTCCTGCCAGTGCAAGCAGTTATAACCAGCTCTTTTCAGATCATTACAGAGTGCATTTCTCCACTAGGAAAAGATGCCCTGAATTGCTTCCTCACACACATGTACATATTTTTAATCTGCTGCTCTGTTTTGTGCGGAGGGAGAGTCAGGCATTGGATGGCTGCCCTGGCACAGCCTGCTGCCAAATGCCAAAAATAGCGAAAAAAAAAAATCTTTTCTCCCTTATTGGCCTCAAATCCACTGAGAATGGGGGAAGAGCATTGAGGTGCATCTGCCATGACCATCCCTGCTGGTGGAGTGGCCAAGGAGAGAAAAGCATCTCACCCAGAGACAGTGCTGCTGTTGTGGTTCTGCTGGAGGGGGGGGTTCTGGTTCCACACCTGATGTTCCCTGCTGCGCTCTCTTCCTGGGACTTGGCCTGAAGTACCTCCTGTGCCTGGCAGGGACAGGGTCCTGTCTCACTCAGGTGTGATGGAGGAGAAAACAGAGGGGAAAAAACAGAAAAAATGAGGCAGAGTTGAAAAAAGTTACAACCACCCACGAAATGGGTTTCTCATCTCTAGTTTCTCCCTCTCTGCTATTGGACAGCAAAACTCTACCCAAATTATCAGAAACCTTTAGCTGAGTTTTTCACAGAGCTGCTCCCAGTGTTTTCCCACAGGGATGTTCAGACAGATGCCAAGCTCACATTAGGGACCAACCAGTGTGTGCAATATTTGGCTGAACATTTTGCTGCCACTACCACCCTGCTAAATAAATCATTTGAATTAACATTTGCTGCCTGGGATTAACAAAAAGCAACTGGACATGCTAACAGGAGAAAACTCCACAAAACTCCCTCCTTTGGCCCCTGCACCAAGGATCATGTCCTGGTCCAGGAAAGCCTCTCCTTCTGCCCTCAGCCCGGAGCGAGCCACCTCCAGGCACTCCTTGTCTTTATCGCCAGGTTAATTAGCACCCCAGTTTCTGCTTTGCAATTAACCTACTTTAAACAAGGCAAAACAGATGCCTTGGAGAGGATCTGGGACACCCAGGAGTGGACAGAAACCTGCCCAAGCTGAGACAGGGATCGGATCAGATGAGATCTGCGGCTGCAGGAGAGCGATGGGCCGTGGGGGTTCTGCTGCCCAACCCCAGCCCCAGCGCTGTGGCTGCCACAGGGTGGGTCTGGTGTTCTTTTTTGTCTTTCCTGCTTCCTATGAACATATTAAAAACCAGTGACCCAGGTGCACATCTTTCTGAAATCTTCAGCTTGCAGCTTTATTTTGTGATGGGCCTGTACAGTAAAAACCACATTAGTTTCTCCCTGTGGGTAGATAAAGGCTTGGTTTATATCCTAAATAAAGTTGGGAAATCAGTGGGATATTTTTGGTTCAGTATTTGAACAGCCAAACAAAATGCTAAAAAAAAAAAAAAAGGCAAAAATAACAGACTTTAGAAAAATCTGACTTGAGACTGGGAGATGTGAAAGGGCACGAAAGTGGGAGGAAAGGATGAAAGAGGAGGCGAAGAAATGAAGGTTGTGAGTGTGGTTAGAGGAAGAAAGAGCCCATCCATCCAAGTGGTGTCAGCCAGCCACAGGCCACAAACACACCTGTTTTTTTGGTTATGTATCCCAGTCTGCCCTCCTGTCTCATCCTTTTCTTGCTGAAGAAAGAATATTCCAGACTCTGAGCACCGCATTGTTTGCTCCCTGCTCCCACTTAGCATCAGGCATGCATTTCATTTCAGAGTTTCTCTTATTTTTAATATATTTCCATAACTCGTTCTTGCTGCCTTTAATGTTTTGCTGTATCCTGCCATTCCCTCGCATCCCGGTTGCTGGTGCTGCTCCTTCCCAAGCCCTGTTCTCACACTTTGCAAGAGCCCTGTTTGCTTTCTGGTCGCTCCTGAGGCAAACCCAAGGTCTGTGCTCCTCATCCTTGTGTAACACCAGCAAGTCTGTCCCTGAGTGGCTCTGAAGGAGAACTGCCCACCTGTGTCTTCCATCACCATAGTCTGTTTTTCTCACAGGAAAGCACATACATCCAGGTGTGTGTTTGCAGGGAGCTTCCATGACATGGACACAGTCCCTGTTTCCCAAAGGAGCTCAGATCTGATGGAGAACAAAGCTGGCATGAGCTGCACTTTCCCCATTTTCTTTTCTCAGTGTCCCTGAGCCGAGCACATGTGTTTACTATGAGCACAAATTAACAGGCAGGATGAGTTAATTAGAACTAAACATTAAGCTAATTGCTTCCCCTTTCAAAGGCTTTGAAGTAAAAGCAGTACATGAAATTTTTCTCTTCTTGGTTCTTTTTTCCTACCAAGCATCAGTGTTTGGGAATGCTGGAAGATGTCCTCTTCCCAAAACCTAAACGATCTCCATGGGAAATTCAACCTTTTCCACGCTTCAAGAAACTAATGTTGAATTTCTCTCTTCCACCTTCCTGACCTCTCAAAAGTGGCTGAGGGAGCTCTACGGGAGTCCTGCCTGAGCTTTGGGCACTGACATGGGTGGATTTGGGAAAATCCACAGTAAAAGGCAGGAAAAGCCGGAAAGTGTCGCTGATACAGAAGTGCCATCTCCCGTGAGATTGGTGGGATGGGGTGACTGTGGCTTGGAGAAACTGCAGGGCAGAGCCCTACTCAGCAGACCACAGCACTTGGCAGCCTCTAAAGAAAGGAGAAGGACAATCCAGACCTGTAGAGACCAGCACAGAAGCAGCTGAAAAGCCTCTTGTCCCTGTCCAGGCACCAGCACCTCTGGTTAAAGCTTATCAAGGCTCTAGAGCTGGGGACAATCCTGGCTTCCCCTTTTCTCAGCACAGAGCTCCCACATCTGTGCCACCAGCTTGGAGGCCAGAAATGGAGCTCAGTATTTGGGTTATCCCTTAAAATTGAGGACTGCACTGTGCCAGGGACCCATCGCTGCAGGGTGGATGGGAGCTCCACCAGAGTGTTCTGGTACAGACAGGGCTCAGCACAGTGGCTGTTTTAAAGGAACTTTGTAATTTTATTTTGGTGAGAGTCAAAATGGTAAAGTTCTCTCATCTTCTGGTTTTGGTGTATCTCCTCTTTCTCATATTACACTGCAGCAACGATAACATTAAGCCACCCCTTCCTGTAACCCTGGTAAAGGCTGAAATAAACCCACAGTTACACATGTTAAAGGGTGAGAGAAGTATGTGAGAGCACAACCTGCACTCACCTTGCTCTGCTGTGTTCTCCTGGCAGGTGACAGCCACCAGGTCAGTTGGATGATGGCTGCGACCTCCAGCCCTTCTAAAATAGAAATACTTGGGTTATTAAAATAGAAATACTTGGGTTATTAAAATAGACATTGTATAGGAGGAGACCTTATAGCAGGCAGTAAGATCCCATGGGAAGACTAGTTTAAGGCCTTAACTGTTTCTTAATATTCTTAAACAAGTCCAGCCTGCTTTTCATCTTGATATAAACTTAGCATAAGTATTTGGGAGCTTGTCTTCATTAGTAAAACCCATCAGGAAAGGATGTGGGTAGTTAATCCCAATAAACGCATGCTTAAGCCTTAGACCTCTAAATTTTTTTTTCCCAGTAATTACAAATGCTTTTGGGGAATTCTATCTGTGTCAGACGAACTGCAGGGGCTGTTTCTCTCCCCCCCAGGTGCCACGAGCCAGGGCCCTGTACACCTACCGTGGGCACAACCCCGGGGAGCTGCGGTTCAACAAGGGAGACATCATCGTGCTGCTCCGGCAGCTGGACGAGAACTGGTACCTGGGGGAGGTCAACGGGATCAGCGGCGTTTTCCCAGCCAGCTCCGTGCAAGTCATCAAGCACCTGCCCCTGCCCCAGCCCCTCGGCAGGGCCCTCTACAGCCTCGACCTGCGGGGCCGGGACAAGGCGGAAAACAAGGACAGCCTGACCTTCCATAAGGTACCACCCGCGGCACCGGGACACGGCTTCCCTGGAGCACACAGTGCTCTGCCGCTCCCCAGATCCTTGGGAGCTCCTGCGGGTGCCAGGAAGGTTCCCAAGCCCCCTCAGACACTGCTGCCAGCAGTTCAACATGCCCCAGTGCCCCGCAGGCGCACAGAGGGATGAGGGGCATCCAGAGAGGGATGCAGGTGCCCCCCAGCTCAGCCAGGGCCAGCTCAGCGCATCACAGGCAGCATTCCCAGTGCTCCCAGTGCTGCAGCTCTGGAGACCTTCCAGCCACCCGCTCCCTGACAGCATTTTGTTAGTGCTGGTCTAGACATTAATTGTGTTGTGCAGCTTAGCTTGAGATGCGGGGTGTAAATGGCACCGGCACCAATTCCTAGAAATAAAATTAATACTTGTAATGCCCATAATTACAGCAAGCTCTGCTTTGTGGCTGTTCTATAGGAGGACATGAGCAAAACACCTTATTTGAAGCTCTAATAGATTTTGTAAAATGTTTCTCATTTAATGAAATAGTTTTTGCTTCAGTAATGACTTATTTAAGTCTGGCGTTAACAGACACAAGTTAGTCAGGGACACATAGAGCCACCAAGGAATTAGAAATTAATCCTGGAGAAGGCAGAGGTAGGGCTGCTGTGGGAGACATGAGGCTTCTCCTGGCTCTGACACACAGTTTGTGCCCCATTTTTTCACATCTGCTGGTACTTGGAGAGGCAGAAGAATGTTTCCAGTTCAGGCTAGAGCTTTATTACGCACAGAAATGACAGGATGGCCATGGCACACATGTACATATGCACACACTGTGGGCTTTAAACCTTAGTTTGGAGAGGGAAAACGTGAAAACTGATGTAAAATGACAAAGCCTGGGAGCCACCTGCACCTCTCCTGCCTCAGTCTCCCTGTCCATCCCTGGCGTCAGGCATGTTGCCTCCCACGAGTGAGGGAGAATCTCCAAGTTTTGCAATTCGTTAGTGTCAGCAGTAAATCATGATTAATTCCTCTGGCACCCATCGTGGTGAAAAACACTGTCACCACATGCCCTTTGCTATTAACACCCTGATCAGCAGTTTCCAAGAAATACTGTGTGAATGCTGCCCATATGCAAACTTGGGGCCTGCCTCTCCCTCGTTAACCCCAATGCTTAACAAGCCAGGATTTTTTTCAATGGAAGCAGCATCAAGCCATGAATGTTCAGGCTGAGGGAGATGGAATTGGGTGGATCTAATGCTGCTGGGAAAGTCACCACCAGTGAGGGCCTCTCCGAGCCCGTGCCCTGCCTTCAGCTGCAGGGCTTAGGTGTCCTCCTGCAAGATGCACCCACGTGTGCCAACACAGGCTGGAAAAAGGAGATGTATCCAAATGTCCTCTCTAATTCAGAGTTAGTGTTATTAAGCACTGTGAGAGAGCCAGTCAGCTCTCCCTGCACCTCTACCAGCCAAAGCCTTGGACAAGGAACATATCAGGAGGAGCACTCAGCCTCAATAAACCCTTGCCTCAGCAACAAGTTTTTCAAACCAATTTAATTTTGCTCTCAGCTTTGCATCAGGAATTTTACACCCAGGATTTGTCACTGGCAACAGATGAGGAAAATGACTGAGCCCCAAGGTTTTAAAGATCGCCTGTAACGTCACCTGAACCCTGCCTGCAGCTCTGCTGCCACACTGGAAAGGCGAAACGCAGCAGTTGGGGGCTATGCCAGGTGTAACTTCTGAAACCACATCACATCTCCCTTTGTCTCCCGCAGCCCAACACCACTGCCCGGCAGCTCCTGCAGACCTCCAAAACCCACTGGTCCCCTCAGTTTAAAAGCGCATCCCTGCGAACGGCGTCTCCCAAGGCGAAGGGCGCGGATTCGCCGGCGTTCCCCAAGGTGCCCGACTCCAGGAGGAAGAGCCTGCGGCAGTTCTCCATCACCACAGCCCTCAACACCCTCAACAGGATGGTCCACGCGCCCGCCGAGCGCCCAGCCCTGGAGATCAGCTCCCCTGTGCTCATCAGCTCCAGCAACCCCACCGTGGCCACCCAGAGCAGCGAGAAAGCAGAGTTCACCTACAGCACCCCTGTCCAGGTAAGGCAGTGGCAACACCAGTCTGCATCCTAAACCTGGGACTATCCTGATTTGGGGACTGAGATATAAACGTAGATCAACCTTTGGGACTATGTCCGCTCTTTATTTTAGGAGGCAGACGAGTCTCATTCCTTCTTCCCGCTCTGACTGAAGATCTGAATCCAGAATCTTCACAGATCATCTGAAATGGGATAAAAAGGGCTTTCTTTAGATTTATGTGCCATCTTTCATGTTCAAAGTTGTTCCAACATTTTATAAAGCCATCACTCAGCCCTGGCAGTTCACATCTGGGCAGTAACACCCAGCAGGCATTCTGTACTGAGCACCAGCCTGCAAAGAGCTGGGATGTGAGATACTGGGTTGTGGAGGGGAAATGAAGCCTCACAGAGTTCCATAACTCAATTGAAACCGTATCACGTCTCACACCCCCAATGGGATCTTACCCAAAATGTTTGAACTACTGCCAACAGCAGAAGCAAGAACACATTTTGGTTTGGCCTTAGAAGGGTTGGGATTTCCTTGTTTCCAAGCAGCAGTGTTGCTCCCAGAGGTCTGTGGGGGAAAAGGGAATCTATGCTGTTCCTGAGGCTGCACAGGATGCAGCTTTCCCTTTCCATCTCTGGGTTTAGGCTGCAGTGACTGAGCTGCAAAGCTGAGATTCCTTTGCAAGCCCAGGTGGGCACTATGAGGGTACCTGAGAGGCCGAGGGGACCGGGGGGGGCTGCACCCGGGCACAGGCAGCGACAGCGCACGGCTGGAGGAGCGAAGCAGGAGAGGCTGCGCTGGGGGCTCTCGGACTCCCCCCAGCACCACCTGCCTGGCACTCCCACCACCACCGAGCACTCGGACTCATTTCAGCCCATAAAAGGGAATATCCGGCACTGCCCCAGCCCTCCTCCGCCAGCTCTTCCTTCCCCTTGGCGGTGCCAAGCCATGCTCAGACGGAGCCAGAACCAGTTTGCAGGGCTGTGGCCGCCGTGTCTGTGCATGTGCCTGTTGCGCAAGCGGCTGTGGGGTGAGGGCAGCGGGGCGCTGCCGCCCGCTCCACCGCGGGAATCTCTTCCCAGTCACAACCGAGCTTATTCCCTGGACCTGGCCGTCCTTGGGTCAGGGAACGTCTGTCTGAGAGCTGCTGCTCCTCCCCCTTTGCCGCTCGGTGAAGGGAGCTGATAAACCCCACGGCTGCCCTCCGGTACCTCTGGCTTTTCTGTGTGCTAAATGATGTGGAACTTGCAGGACCCAACATCCTGGAGAGCACTGAGACCTCCCACGGCCCCCTGATGGGATGGGGAAGGCCTCCCTCCCCACGAGGCAGCGCACGGGCACTCTCGGCAGGGACTTGCCTGTGTCAGGAGCGCTGGTAAATCACACTGGTGACACACTTGAACGGGAGATGGAGTAAGAGAGGGATTTCAGGAGAGGCAGGGAATTAAACCCTTTGTACTTACAAGGGCTCGCAAGGTACTTACAGGAGATCAGCAACAGCGAATGCTGAAACCAGTTATACGTGGCTGGAAAATATTTCATTGAGTCTTTTTTCCTCTCCGTTGCAAAAAGGCAGCTTTGAGGAGGCTAAAGGACAGCTGCTCCTAGGCAGAGGGGAACACAGAGATGAGAAACATGGGGCTTTCCAGCCAAAAGGAGACACTTCAACATAGTTCCTTCAGGAAAAACAGTAAAAGGCTGTCATTTTTCTCCAATGCAGGAAAAACAAACTCTGAATCCCAAAATTTCAAACATCTTGATTATGATAATTATTAAAGTAGAATTATAGTTTCCAATCCACTTTATGAACACCTGGTATGACCCTGCCTGGACTAGAAAATGAGGCATGCAGAGATGGTTTGAAGCTGACCTGCCACTCCAGGTCCGAGACAGAAGCTGGAATTGATGGGGTGTTTTAATTAACTTAATTTACTGGAGAGCACCGGAGCTGGTGAGTCACTTTTCTTTTTCCCTAGGTCCATGCCAAGCCAGTGCTCCAGCACCGCGTTACAGACTTGACCACTAGAAATTAGATTCGAAATGAACACGAGATTAAAGCCCCAGTTTGCATCATTAAAGAGCCTGTGGTCATTGCTGGAGAGCACGACTGGCGGCTGCATCCCAGCACAGCGACGTCCCGCTGCCTGGGACGCTGCTGTCACTGCCCTGCCTTGCTGGGAGCTCTGCTCCCCCCACAGCAGCCACGCTCCTGCCACCACACAGCACAGCCCAGCCGTGGCCCAGCACAGACAGGCCACCACCATGGCTGTTGCCTTCCAGCACTGGATTCCCAATGGGAATCAGCTGTTGCTGGCAGCAGTTCACCCCAGGGCACATTTTGTGCTGCAGAAGGGACAGCTCAGCAGGAGAGCATCCCAAGGATGCCAGGCTACCCACTGCCATCCTCCCTCCACACTGCAGCCTCTCCTGTGTGGAGAGGCTGGAGCAGCACCAAGTGCTCTCTCATCACCCCCACCCCGAGGGCTGCTGTGCTGCCAGCACCACTGGCAACCAGAAGAGCAAAGGCAGAAGCCAAAGGGACGAGTTGGAGTGGGCCTGGTTAGCACAGACACAGGGATTCAGTAGCTGGGACCTTCCTGGGCTTCCCTGCAGAGCCCAGTGAGCACAAGGAGCACAAAACCAATCTCAGAAGAAGAATGGAAACACAGGCAGGTTCTGGTTTGGGGGTACTGTCTGGACCGTCAGCAGGATTCTGCAGGTAGAGGACACCCAACAGCTCACACCTCACCTCAGAGACCCTCTCAGCATGGGAGTGTCACCCAAGCTTCAAGGCAAGGGGCGACAGGTCATGGGAACAGCCCAGCACACTGCCCATGGCCTCACCGGCACGACAGGGACCCTTGGCAGGTGACAGCAGCTCTGGCACAGCACGTGTGAGGTACAATTACCTCAGCAGCAAAAATGGGGCTGCAGTTCCTCCCTGGAACACCAGAGATACCTACGAGAGCCCAGAGGGGACATTGTGGTGGCTGGTGCTGCTCTGCAGGTGCAGAAGGACAGTGGGGAAAGGCTCACCCCAGCCACACACAACCCTGAGCGAGGGGTCTCTGCCCACATGGCCAACAGCTGCTCCCTGCCCATCATGCACACAGGCCTGTGGGGCTCCTGGGACACCACAGACCTGGTAAATGTCTTTAATCATAGTCATTAAAGATCACTGGGGCAAGGACTGTGTTACTTTAGGGTTCAATACTTCCAGCTGGAGCTAAATAAACAAGTGAAACAGCTGTGATCACAGCAGTCCTCACCTGGCAGACACGAAGGTCTCCTCCTGGTTCAAAGCCTGGGCTTGAAATGCCATTTTCCCAAACACCTTTTAGTTCCTGAAGCAGCACTGGAGACCTTGAACGGATCAAAGGCACTCATGTTGCTCAGAGCCAAGTGAAGAGGGATGAGAGAACACCACATACAAGGAGAGGCGAGGGAGGGTCTCCCCACTCAAGTGGATCTCCCATCTGTGGAATTAGCAGCAGATACAGGTTTAGGGCTTACATGTGACTCTTGGAAGTCACAGTGTTGGGTTAAGGTTATCCTGTTCCGTCACTGTTTCCAGAGCCTTCCCACACACAGCTTTTCTGCCCCAACAGGCTCTGTTCTTAAAGGACAGGATGAGCACCATCAGTCCAACCGAGCTGTGCCCTGGCAAGTGTCTTCATGTGGAAGGACCATGAGTCAAGCAGCTGAGGGAGCTGGGGGGGCTCACCCTGGGGAAAAGGAGTCCTTATTACTCTCTACAACTGCCTGAAAGGAGGCTGTAGCCAGGTGGGGATTGGACTCTTTCCCAGGCAAATAGCACAGGACAAGAGGAAATGGCCTCAAGCTGTCCCCAGGAGGGTTCAGGTTGGACATTAGGAGGAATTTTTTCACTGAAAGGGTTGTGAGGCATTGGAATGGGCTGCCCAGGGAGGTGGTGGAGTCACCATCCCTGGAAGTGTTCAAGAAATGACTGGACATGTCATTCAGTGCTCTGGTGTCATTGACAAGGTGGGGATCACTCAGAGGTTGGACTCGATGATCTTGGAGGTCTTTTCTAACCCCAGTGATTCTGGGATTCTTAGTCTTCCTCTCACTTTTTTTAGTTCAAATGCTGCAAACTTCTATTTCTTGAAACGTCTTTGATGGTTTCTTTGAAGGTTGGGTGACCACATTAATACCTTCCTTTTCTTTGCTTTTTTTTCTCCCCTAGGTCAGCACCTCTTACTACCCCGCGCCAGGACCGCTGGGGCCCTCAGCAGCCATTGTCACCCTTCCCCACCTGCAGCACCACGTGCCGGCTTACCTGTACGTAAGGAGGCTGAAATACTTCTGGGGGAAGGGGGGGGTGTAGTTTCCTGTAGTTTCCAGCTTGCTTCTGCCAGCCAGGAGGTGCAGGCAAACCGGAGCGCAGCTCAGATCCAAATGCAGATCCATGTAGGAACCTACCTGGCTGGTCTTAGCAGGGGGTGGCAGAGACCTGTTGTCACAGCTGAGTTGTTCTTTTCCCAGCAGGTGAACCATCCCTGCCTCTTACTGCTTCACTGCAGTATTTATGGATAAACAGTTCTGCCTGTTTGTCAACAATACACTTAAATTTTTTTAAGGGTGAAGAAACTAATCACTCCTCAAGTACCTCTGTTTATTTTTTTTAAAACCTCCACGGCCACTGGTGTTTTGAACGATCCAATTTTTGAAAACTTTCCCAGAGTAGTTAAAATTTGTGGATAACACGCTGTGATGATTTGTTTTCCTCGAGACAAGATTTACCACCCTGGCGCTGTAGTAATGCACCTAAAATAACAACAGCATCACAACACGCTGTTTACCCAGCACTCAGCACCCCCAGTGCCAAGCCAGGCTGTGGGAACACTGGTGCCCACGAGCAGCACCCACACACACCATCATAGGTCAGCCAAGATTCCTGCACACACCTAATGCCAAGGACAGGAAAACTCCTAAGACATTTAAAATAATTTGCAGAATGAGGAAAGTATTAGAGGGTCCCACCAGCTGCCTGGTTTGCACAGCTGCTTTTTCAGCCCTGCAGTGTCAGACCAGCACCTGCAGGCCCTCCCTTTGAGGTGACTCCTGTACAGCAATGCACCTCTGCAGAATGAGAACACCCTGATGCACCTGGGCTGTGCCAGTCCCCAGGGGAGCAGCCCCTCACACAGACTGGCCCTGCAGGTTCTGGGATAGCCCCTGACTGTCCAGACAACTAGTCTGTTGTTTCTATTTTGTAAATAGCACCCAGTAATTGCTATGTCGGGTCTGTAACTCATTGATACTTGGGAGCAGATCACATTCCCTTTAAAGAAAAAACACAACAGTGCAATTAAGCGTGTTACACTGGAGACAAAGTTCTTCAAAGAACAAATAGGAGAAACCTTTGAAATATACACCATTTTCTTTTGCTGCTGTTCCACATGGGTCAGTCAGACCCCAGAGCTCCAGGATGCTCCAGCCACCCTGCACGGTGGCAGTTCTGCCTCCCCTCACATCCTCTTTCCCCAGGTGCGTGGCTCTCCACTCCTATGTGCCTCATGGACCAGACGAGCTGGAGCTGCAGAAGGGAGAAGGGGTCCGTGTCTTTGGGAAGGATCACGACGGCTGGTTAAGAGGCATGTCCCTCGTCACGGGCAGAGTCGGAGTCTTCCCCAGCAACTATGTTGCTCCCCTGTTCAGGTCTGTTTTTTCTTACACGAAACAAAAACACTTGAAGAGGGAAGGGGGGGTCCTTCGCCAGGCAGGATGGCACCCAGCAGCTCTCACCCTTTTTTTCCTTTTCCAGCAGGAAATCCAGTCTCTCTGACTCAAAGATGCCTTCCCTGTACACTTCATGGACACTGTCGACCTCCTCGCTCTCCTCCCAAGGGAGCATCTCCGAAAACGGCCCGAGGCAAAGCAGAGCCCTGAAGCCGGTGCTGCTGCCCATCCCTATCCCCTCGCCGGGGAGGAGCACGGTGGGACCGGCACCTCTGCGGCGCGGCCGCGGCAGTGCCAGGAAGAGTAAGTGCTTGGGGTGGGCTCTGTGAGGGAGAGTGGACACATTTCCCCCAAACCACACCAGCTGCTGCGGTTCATGGTTCCACACCCCTGCTCGGCCCCGCTCTGGCTGCTTTGGGAATTCCAGGGTGTTTGACTCACCGTGGAAAAACTCCTTGCGAAGGTTTATGCAGAGCTCAGTGGTTACGTTCTTTCCAAGGAGGCTGCAAGGTTTATCGTCAGCCCATACACACTGTTCTGAAATACATTTCCAGGGGTATTTGGGGAACCAAGTCGTGCATTCCCAGCACCGGCAGCAGAGCTGGAGGCAGGCTGTGCCCTGGCAAGGGCCACTGTCTGTGGGTTTAGGCTCGAAATTGGTCGAATTGCTGCCTGCCAGTCCTGGCACCTGAGGGGTGGGCACGTGGCAGTTCCTGGGAGCTACGGCCCCACAGCATCCCGTGAACGTGGCTGTTCGTGCAGGGCTGTGATCACTGCTCACTCTGCCCCTTTGCGCTCTCTCTGCCATTTGGATTCCTGCTGACTTTCCTTTTCCATCGGTCCTTGCTCCCCAGACGGATCCCTGCAGAGGCCGGGGCAGGCGGGGACCCCTGTGCAGATCACGGGCTCCCTCAGGCGTCCTTCCGCGGCTGCGGGGCGACTTCAGCAGTTCCAGATTTACCCACACATCAGCTCCCCGTCACACAGCGTCCCTCCCGGAGCCGGCACAGACGAGGCAACAAGGTTAAACTTCTCCCACGAGGCTTCACCGGCGCTTGTGATCAGGGGAGGGGAGAGTCGGACCCCCTCCGTGTGCAGCTCAGTGATCCTGGATGCCAAAGACCCTCCAATGAAGAGTGAGGCAGCTCCAAAGCCGCCTGCCTCAGCCCCGCCGTCCATCCTGGTGAAACCAGAAACCAGCCGCAACAGCGCCGAGAAGGTACGGCCAGTGCTTCCCAGTGCTCCAGAGGGTCCCCCATCCCCTTGGAACCAGAGGTGTCAGCCAACACTGACCAGGGCCAAACTCCCTGAGGGCTTTGCTCCATCCTCACCAGGTTTTGTTCCAATAGAAATCACTGGGATTGGCACCTGCATTCAGAAAGCAGATATTTGTGTTGCTGACACTGCTATGCAGATAAAGCCCTACAGAAAGGCAGGGTCTTTGTCTCTGTCACTAAGTTCAGTCACAAGCAAATATTGAGATCTTTCTGAGGTCTTAAATCGAGAAAAGAATCCCATCGAGGTCTCCCAGAGTTTGGGAGGGAATGAGCAAATGTCACAGACCTGGTGTCAGGTCTTGTCAGGCAGAGCTTTGCAGAGCTGCCCCATCTCCCTCATGTCAGTTGGGCTGACCTATTTGAAATGGGAATTTCTTTCCCCTCTGGCAGCCAGAGAGAAATTTCATAAAAGTGAAATCATTCTGCAAATTGACCCAGTGAAGCTTCCTCTTCCCATGACACCCAGAGAGGTGCCCAAGTCACTCCACAAGCCCAGCCAGCCTCAGAGCTCTCAGGCAGCGCAGCATCAGCTGAGAGAACCCGCGGGTCTCTGAGGGCAGGACAGGCTGCCCACCCTCGCGATGCTGTGCTGCCTCCTGCTCCTTCCCTCCCAGTAACTCAGCCGACTCTCCTCGGTTTCCCGTCCCTGGGGCTCCCTTCCACCTGCCATCGGCTACACATTACCTTGGGCTTCTCCGCAGGCATCCATACCCCAGGAAGGATCCAGCCACCCCCTCGGCACATCCCCCGCGGTTCTGCAGGGCTGGGCACAGCAGGGAGGGTGGGAGGAGGGGATGATGTTCCCACCTGACCCCGGTCCCCTTCTCGCTGCAGCAAGTGAAGACGGTGCGGTTCCAGAACCACAGCCCTCCGCCGCCCAAGCGGCACAGCCTGCAGCCCTCGCCGCGCCTGCAGCGCTCCAGGACGGAGCCCGAGGTGCTGCTGCCCGAAGCCGGCCTGGGCCCCGAGCTGCTGGTGCTCTACTCGCCCCGGCTCGGCTCCAGCCCCCTGCACCCGCGCCGGGCACTGCACCCCAAGGCTCTGTCGCTGGACCTCTCGGGGCAGCTGACCTTCCCGGTCAAGAAGAGCTACAGCAGCATCTCTGCAAACTGACCGGGTAACCCCCGCCTGCCTCCTCCCCACCTGCTCCTCTCCCTCCTGCGCGGGACCCCGGACCCCGCACAGCCTCCCCTGCTCCCCATCTGCGAGAGGGGACGGTGCTCCCGTGTCCCCGCACCAGCGGCACCCTCGGGACCTGAGGCTTGCAGAGCTGTGGGAGCCCCGAGGGAGCCCCCCTGCCCCAGGGATGCTCGAGCACCGGGAGATGGGACTCGAGGACTGACGTTCCCCGGTGTCGCTGCCTCTACGGCACCGCAGGATCGGCGGGAGGGGAGGGAAGCCTGCGGGTATCAGAAAGAGTTACACTTGTTTTGATCTTCTCAGGGCTGCAGGAAGCCCACAGAGATCTAACAGCGGGTCGGTACCTGCCTGTCTCAGGATAAAGAAACCATAAATCAGAGTCGATCAGCTCCTGGCTGACGATTTACGCTGCCTTTGGGGGGGTCCACTCAGATTTTTTTGTTAGGGTAGTTGCTTGCTTGCTTTTCTCTTTGGTTTTAGCCCAGGAATTTTAGCACAGAACAGTCTAAAAGGTGATTTGGAGAGGAAAGAGCCAGTGGGAAGGGCAGTGCCATCACTGCAGTCACCCAAGTTCTGCAGTCAGGGCACTGAATCTTGCTTCTCCTCATTGCTTGGTTTCCTCTGATCACCTGTCAGCTACCTCCTGCCCATGAGCCCCTCCATCCCCTTCCCACTGCCCACTCACTCGGATGTGGCTGTTGTAAATATCTTAAGTGGGATTCATGGGTTTCAGTCTACATTCAGATGCATGAAACATCGTCTGTGTAACAGAAAGCAGAATTCAGCATTCCCCGTGCCCCAGACAACCCTCTGCCATGGCAGCACCAGCTCCAGTTTCCCCATTCCAAGCATCCTCCTGTGAATCCCAGGAAAGCCAGCAGAATCAGAGAGTGGTGCTGGCTCACAGCTGTGCCTGCTCTCCAGCAAACCTCTGCACAACAGATGTTGGGTTTCATACTTTGTTTTCATTGCTGGTTTACCCACCAGCAGTTCCCACCCCAGCTGCGGGCACCGGCCGCCACCTCTCCTGGCAGTGGGAGCTGTGCTCCCTCCAAAACTGCCATGAAATCCCATCCTCAGTTACCTGCATAGAGACCCAGGATAGGAACTCCACTGGTCAATGGAAACTCTCCAAAGCCCTGGCCTGGGCCTCAGGGAAGGACAATTTCTCCTGGAACTAAGCAAACAGATAAAAATCATTCACTAGGCCACAAGCCCTGGTCCTTCACTCTTCCAGACTTAGCTCCTGCAGAAACACCCTGACAAGCTGAAAGCACGGTGTGTGCCCAGGTGTAAAAGGTGGCACCAGCCACAAACAGAGAAGGTGAGCACAACTCAGCAATGCCACCTCAGAGACAGCTCAATGCCTCAGGGGAGACAAGCTGGTCCCCTGCTGAGGACTACTCTCATCCCTTTAAAGCTGAACCAGAAAGCAGCTGGCTCTTATCACCGAGACACATCCATGTATCCCAGGCATACTTAGAAATAAACAGAATTCCACTCGGTATTGGCGCTTTGGTAAAAGAGCAGGCAGCTATTTTGGGATGGATGCCTGTGTTTCACACACAGGATATTTCAGAGCTGTGATGCTATGGTGATAAATGCCCTAAATATATTCAAAATATGTAGGGAGAGAGAACTGAAAACAGGGCGTACTTTAAGCTAAAGGCCCTAATAAGACTCCTGTCCCCACAGACAGCCCTGCCCACAGGTTTCATGCCACGGCCCACTGAGCAGAACTGCCTAGTCCTCCTCACCTCCTCCCCAGCAGCACCAGGAGGGAGCTTCTGGACTGTGTCACTTGGAATGTGAACATTCCAAGAAAGAGGGATGAGAACTCAGACCTCTTTCTTCCAAAAGCCCAGGCTAAAGCAGAGCCTGCTGAGCTAATCCAGAGCTAACCCATCACGATCCCCAAGTGAGGCAGTGCCCAAAAACTGGTTCTTATCCATGTGGAGAAACCCAATCACGCTGGTGAAGGCATCAGCTATCAGGGAGCAATTCCCCAAGTGCTCTGGACCAAAACCATCTGTTCTGGAAGAATCACCCCATCCCCCTTAACTCTGCAACCAGAATCACCACACTGTGCTCCTGGCACATCAGCAAACTTCACATTCTTGGTGTGAGCTCTGGGCTGCAGTCTGAAGTACACTGCATCTTCCCTGAGGATCTGTTCCAAACCATGGGCCTTCAGGCTGCTGTCATCCAATATTTATTTTTTTTAATACTGTAGCAATGGAAAGGGAGGCATCACATGCTGGCAGGAGGGTGGCAGCTTCTCATGAAGGTGGGCGAGCTCTTCAAGGGTTTCTGTTCTTTTTATATATATTTAACTTCCCTCCTGCCTTCCCACCCTCCAGACTCTCTTCAGCCTGTTTCCCCAGTGAAGAGAGGTCAGACATCAGCATTGGGACCCTGTTTTGTCCTTCCCATATTGGCCAGGAGGGCCCTCTTTCCCCCCTGGATGTCGTTCCTCTGCGCTCCCAGTGGTACAGAGGGACCAGTCCCATCCCCAGCCCTGCTGACCCTCCAGGCCTGCAGCCTCCTGTGCTGCCACAGCACCAAGGAAGCAGCACCAGAAAGGCAAAATGTATTTCTGTAATGAAAATACACCATCCTCTGCCAACCCAGACAGGCTGAGCCAGGCTCCAAACACCCTGAGCACCGTGTCCATCAGCACAGCTCAGAAATGGAGCTCTGGGAAAAGCATAGAGCAGTACACAGGGACAGAGGGACCATTAATGAACCTCTCCAACTTCTTCAATTGGGCTTATTTTCTATCTGCTCGTTCCTTACGATTGGTTAATGAATTAGAGTCTGAGTCAGATCATTCATCAGCTGCTCTAATTGCCTGCCCAGCCTGGCAGAACCCTGGGAGTGCTTTAGCACACAACCTGCCCCTAAACCTGGGCTGCAGTCCTGCTTCCTGATAAATCATGAGCAGAGGCAGCAGAGATAAGAAAACATAGCATTCACTAATTCTCTCCACATCGTCTGTGTGGAGGGGGGCACATCTTGTCTCAGACACAGGAGGATGGAGAGGAGCCCCCTTTCCAGTCCATCCTGGGGCTGGAGCGTTGGGCCCAGAGTGGGCTCACTGCCCACCTGCCACAAGAAAGGTGCCACAAGGATGATGTGCAGTCTCAGGAGGGAATTCTGCAAGGAATTCTGCAGAATTGGACTGGCTGCAGCATCGCTGCACACTGCTCTCCTGCTCACTCCCTGCCCAGCAGTTATCGCAGTTCATGTGTGCAGTGATGTGTTTGAAGTGCAATCACAGCTCGAGACTTCAGCTTTTCAGGTTTTTTGTCATAAGCCTCAGTACCTGCCCCGTTTAAAAAGTAACACTCCCAAATATTCATGAAATCAGTGTTTAGAACCCCAAACCATCCATGAAGTGATGGGGACTTACCAGTGACGTCCGTGGGAGCTCCACAGGCTGATCCCTTCATACCTGTTCCCAGTGGGAAGTGGTGATGGATCAGAGACTGCACTGTCAGGCTGGTGAGGACTGTATGGGTAACTAAAGGGGGAAAAGATCTGTTTACACCAAAGTTCCAGCCAAAATAGGTTTTAAAGGCAGAAGGGGTCAACAAAAGGAGCTTCCCTGATCCCCTGTGTGACCAAGCAGGGAATTTATTTGTCTTCTTTCTCCACCAAGCCCAGGGAATGCTCCAATGAAATGTTACAACTGGGTCACTTATCAGTGAGAAAACAGAAATGACTATTTTTACATATATATCTTAGAAATAGTAGGATATATAACCTTTGCTTAGTTGGTGATGGGTAGAAGGAATAAATACATTTAGTTTATTGTTCAGAGACGCTTGTACAAATTCAGGGATGCTGAATACTTTTTCCATGAAGTGAAGTTAATTTTTTAAAAAGATTTTTTTCAACTTAAGGTACTATTTGGGAGAAAAGTCAATAAACAAGAAGATATTAGTTTCCTGTTTTGTATTAATCCTCAAGCTATTTATTTTGTATTTCTGTAACGAGAAGCAAAGGTTTCAAGGTATTTTAAGCTTTCAGAAGTTTATTCATCTAAGTTTATAGCACTAATGTTTAGCTCTGTAGCCTGTAGGTAATTAAATTAATTGGGGCCAACTGGGTTCCGGCCCCTCATGCACTGGAAACGGCGGCAGCTGCAGGGAGTGGCAGCGTGAGGGCACTGCCAGCACAGCTGGACCACTTGGGGGGAACTGGGGGAGGGCATCAGGGGGACACTGGGAGAAACAGGGGAGGGAACTGGGAGAAACACGGGGCTTGGGAAAGCTTTGGGCACCCGCCGCGTGAGGCTCACGAGCCCATGGGGGCTGCTGTGGCACCATTAAAACTTTTTGCATGAAAAAAAAAAACCCAACAAACCAGGAATGTTTATTCTCACTTTCTTATTTCAGGTTTCACACCCTCGGGAGCAGATGGTGAGGGAGGGGGGGTTTACCTGGGTGAGGGGACTTACCTGATTCCGAGCCCAGGAATGCAGGCTCTGCTCTCCTGCTCATGGCCAGGTTCCAGCTCAAGCTCCAGTGCTGCTTTTGAGGCTCTTTGCCCCCAGCAGGAACCTACAAGTAAACAGGATGATGATATTTAGCATTTCTTGACTCTTTCTTTTCAAAGTGCTTTGAAACCTCTGGCCAAGAGGAGAGCACAGCACTTCACTCTGTTGTAGAAGTGAGTCCCTGGGGACAGGGACAGCTGGGGATTGGGACCCTGGGTGATGCCCTGTGGCCCTCACCTGTGCTATCAGCACCTCAGCTGCAGAGCAAGGGGATCACAGCTGCCCTCTGAACAGCAGCAAATAAATCTGCATGAAATTTTCGGCTCACAAGTCACAGCTGGAGGTGGCAATTTAGGCTCATGCTCCCAAAGCCACCGCTGGGTCAAGAAACTGCTGTGGGATCTGGGCATTGTATCCACGTTTAACTCACCTGGGGATAGTGGGAGCTCTACCAGGTTTAAATTTCTGAAGAGGAGCACCAGCAGAGACGGGGACTGTTGTAAAATACTCCTGTGCTTTATTTTTAAAACCAGGCTTGTTGGGTGGTGAGGGAGAAGAAAGGGATGGATGAAAGGAACCATGACTCAGGCTCCCCCCTGGTTCAAAGGCAAGTTTGAACCAGGACAGCCTCAGTGCACGGCAGCTCCTGCTGGCCAGGGCTGCAGCAAGTGGCCAGGAGCTGGAAGCACTGCCCAGTGTCACGGGGGGTCCCTGGGAGCAGCAAGGAGGGTTCACACATGGCACAGCCAAGGATCAGCTACTGCTTCCCATCCTGCACCTCCCACCCAGATCATTCCAGTGCCCCAGTGAGCTCATGGGCTCTATCCAGTGAAGGACCCTGCACTGGATAGAGCCACCCCTGCCCTCCCTGGGATGTCTCCCCTGTGCTCAGCCAGGCAGCAGGACAAACCTCCCACCATCCCACCAGCACCCCAGTGCTCAGCCCTGTCAGAACAAAACATGCAGAACTCTGTCTGCCTTGGAATCCAACTCATGGCCTCAACACAAATCAGCTGATTTTCTCCTCCTCACATGTTATGAAAGACAAAAAAACCCTGAAGGAAAGTGGCATGACCCCGGCCCAGAGCTACCATTTTGCTTCAGTTTCCATTCCCTTTCCAGGATTTGCTTGTTCCTGCTTCAAAGGCCAGTGCAGCTTTTTCCAGGGTGGGAGATTTCGTTTAGGTGCTGGGGATGTCCCTCTCTCTGGGCTCTGGAGCCCCAGCAGCCCAGAGCACTGACCATGGGAGAGGATGGGGGAAAAGGGGAGGCTGAGGATGCCCCCAGATCACTCACAGTAACCAGATGGAGCCAAAGCCCAGCTCTGCCACAGCACCAAGGTTTGCCACTGCCACTCAGACAGTCCAGGAGCTGACTGGAGATCCTTGGAAGTGCAAACAAACGTTAACAAAGACCATTCCAAAGCTGTCTCCCACACCCAGCAGCCCATGGGTGATGCTGCTGCTGCTCCCCACTTCAGTGGAAAATAATTCCCCAAGGTCACGCGATCCCTCTGACTCAGTAAGGCTCTGCTGAGCAGTGACTGCTGCTGTTTTAAACAAAACACAGGTTCTGGATGCTCCACTGGTGACACAGAGTCAATAATTCTCTCTTCTGCCTGCAGAGCCTGCAGGGATTAATAAACTGCTCTGAACTGAATTCCTGAGCAAGGAATTCCTACCCAAGGCTCTCTGCAGAGAGACATTTTACAGGGTGATGTGCAACAGAGAGCATTCCTCTCACCAGCTGTATGGCTGCTACATAGATTTATCTTTTTATGTACCAGACTACTTACACTGTTAACCAAGGCTGGGGCTCCTCACTCTGCTCTGTACTTGAGACCAGGAAGGAAAAGAAGTCCCATCCTCAGGCATTATCCAGGACAGAATAAACAGTGATAGGACAATTAGACATTCATCCTGCCAGCAGGACTTCCAGCCTGGCACAGGTGACATCACCACACTCCATGCCCTGTGTCACATCAGTTTCCACCTGCCAGGACCACTCTTACCCCTCCTCCCCACTCCCCCAAACAGCAGCAGGCTCTCCAGTTAAAGCCTCCAGTGGATTTGGGTGTGGATGGAGCCAAATCCAGCTGGGAATCAGCACAGCTCCCCTGAGGAAGGAGTGGAATTCCAAAAAGGCATTTGTTTCTGAACACCCTGCCCAAAGCTGAAAAAGAAGAGTGTCCACATTAGCGTTCAGGGTAACTGTTTCAACAGAAGCCAAAAAGGTTCAGAGGAAAATAATTTTATTAAACCCCTGTTTAAAAGAATGGTGGGAACTCACACGTGAACTCAGGTTGGTTGGGGTGGGCTTTTCTTTAATAGAACAAATTCCTTGTTTATTACAGATGCTTCAAAGTCCCTCCATGAGCCTTCTCACTGCCAGGTACGTGCCAGTTCAGTAAACCAGGTAAACAATTGTGTCCCCAATGTCCCTCGTCAGGCCGTTCTCAGTGACGCGGACGTGCCTCTGGGCCAGGTCGATGTGGAAGATGGCTTGTTCCAGGATAGGAGTTTTCCCTGCTTCCTCTTTGCCAAGGACTGGAACACGGCGGGGCCCAAGCACGGGATCATCAAACCTCATCAGCTTCACTTTGGAGAGGTCTGCACAGAGAGAGGGGCTGGTCAGGCCATGGGAGCTGCACACGAGTGAGCCAGAGCAATGCTTACCCCTTGCGATTTCCACACCTGCTCCAAGGAAATACATTCTACTGGGAATAACAGTCATGTTAAGGTTTACACCAACACAGTTATGTCCCTCAGTGGTTACACAGCAAATTACCAGCAGAAATGGGGAAACCCCACACAAATACCAGCTCCCAGTACCACACAACAAGCGCTGAATTTGCCTTATCTGGCTCGGGACAGCTCTGAGTAACCAAACTGTTGTTTCTCATTTTCTGAGGAATGAGCTGCAGAGACTGGGAGGAAGAGGAAGGTCAGAATTGTATTCAATACAATTCCCTATTAAAATATTCACTAATAAAAGACTGCTAAAGCAGTCCAAGAAAAATCCATAGGAAGCCTGTGTGTGATCCTTCAGCCAAGCCTTCCTGCAAGTACAGCCTTCCAGCCCTGTGCCCAACAGCACACTGACACCTTCTGGGAAGAGACAGAGGGAGTCCCTGTTTCATCTCCCTGGTTTTCAGGAAAAACTCCTCTGCTGTCACAAGTTTAAGGATGAGGTCCAGATTTCCCTTTATACCCAGCTCCCAGTGCTTCAGATTGGTTTGGTTCTCAGTCCCTGCATCCTTCACCAAAACACAGCTCTGTTCCTACTGCACCTACTGCAGCAGCACAACCTTCAGCAGCTCTCACTTCCACTTCCCTCCTGGAGATGGTAGCCTCACCAGGTGGGACAGCTGGACACCTGTGCTGGTGGTTACCTTTGATTCCTCTGTCCATCTTCATCAGGCGCCTGATCACGGTCTCTCTGTTGTCCCCTTGCCTGATGTCCATTTTTGTGGAGAAGTGGCCATTGGAGGGCTGAGGGTTCACCAGGAACACAGACACACCAGGCTGAGAGAGACAACACAGACCTTAAAGGAGAACCTGTGCTTGTGATCCCTTAGGACAAACATGAAACTTAAAACATAAACATCTGCTGTCCACAAATCTTCTGGGGATAATATCCCTTCAGAACTGGCCTGGCAGTGCAGGGCGGCAGCACTGCCCAAATCTAAAATACAGCCCAGCAGTATAACAAGGGTTTAGGACATATTTAGGGAAATCAATGACATTTTTACTCTTAAAAGAGCTAGAAATATTCATACATGATGAATGATCCTGTCTGATGGAAGTTCTTAAATGGCATATTTACTTTTGATTTGGGTTTTTTTTTAAAGTTTCAAATTGTGTTTTTAAGACTTCCACTATCTGAATTTCTGATTTTACCTCAGTTCTGAATACAGAAAATGGTTTTCCAGGACAGCAGTCTTCTTTGATTTTATCTTCTGCTTCAGAAGCAAACTTCACTTCAATATGATCCAGCTGTAAAACAAAAAAGATGGGAGAGGAGGGAATAAGCAGGAGTTTAATGGCTTTGGAAAGAACAGCAGAAGTTACAGCCCCATCAAACACCTGTTCGTGTGTGAAAGTGGAAAGTAAACCTGCACTGACTTAAGGAAACAGCAGCACACTTAAAACCATAAAATCTAGTTTGGAAGGGACTGGAGTGTCACCTGCTCCCTATGTGAGGTGCACAAAGACCCCACTAGTGAGGTTCTGAGGGCAGGGATCCCCAGAGACTCCCCAGCCTCTCTGGGTGGCCTGTTCTGAGGATACACTGCTGTCCCCACAATGTTCCCCCACCCTCATAAGCTGCACCCAACTCCTGGTCATTGTCCCTTGTCTGACTGGCAGCCCACAATCCCAACAGAGGTTGGCTTGGTCACCCTTAACTCTCTAAGCAGCACCAGCTTGCTCTGAAATCTCCCCCTCAGCCAGTCTCCAGAAGCCCACTGCCTTCAGGTCACACTCTCCAGGCTCCCCCAGCCTCCCTCATGGTCCTCTGCTTAAGAGCCACCTGTCCCCAAAGCCTTTGTGAACTGGGGGAGGGTGAGGGGGGCACAGCACTGGCACAGCCCAATTTAGACTCAGTGGAGCTGAGGGGTGACCTCCTGACTTGCCCAGTCCTGTCCTACACAGGTGACTCCCTCCAATGTAGGTCAGCACCCAGTGTGGCTCATT